AAAGTGTCTTGCCCAAGAACACAACACAATGTCCCCGGCCAGGGCTCGAACCCGGACCGCTCGATCCGGAGACGAGCGCACTAACCATGAGGCCTCCCATAATTTAACTGTAACCCACCTATAAGAACCTGCTGGATCTTGCTTGACTTAACAGGTTCTTATATTTTTTGGTCTTAAAATGGCAAATTTCTGCCAGCAGGTTCTTAAACCACTAGGTTCTTACTGTATATGTCATAAAATGACAGTTGCAGTGTAGCCGCAGCTGCAGTAATGTATCATCTTATACGTTTCACCAATATGTATTGTAACAAACGTAATGTAAGAGTGTAACTCGACTAACTCCGGGGTGCAGTCTTAGTTCATTTAAGTAGTGAAGCTATACGTTTGTTTAGAGACATTCTTATGTTTCTTGCAGCTATCTGATCGAGCTTATGTTTCTCGAGCTCGATGTATAGCTTTATTCCTGCATTCCTCTTGTTTCTTTTAGTCGTTCTGGCACCAAGATTCAAATGTAGCTGTTTACGCGCAAGTCTGTTAACTGTTTTGTGTGTTGTATATGCCATTGTTCGGCTTAGTTCAAGCAAAACAAGAGAGAATACAAGTCATGTCAGTATCAGTGTAGTGACACTAATGTATTGTCTTGTAAGTTTCACCATTATGTAATGTAATAAAAGTAATGTAAGGGGTGTAACCCCGGGGTGCAATGTTAGTTCAAGTAAGTAGTGATCATAAGTTATGTATAGTTATTAACGTACCTCAACTCAAGCAATGTTGTATGTAATGAATTTAAGTTTAATAAAACATAGAGTGAGTAATCTATTGCTTTCCTAGAATTCTAGCTAAATTGATCTCAAGTGATCATTGTCCCGTATTAATTTTTTTTCTTCTACTTTCTAAACCTATTTTAGCGAAATATCCTGCAAACTGAATTGCAGCTAGCAGTGTACTCAGTTCATTCAACAAAAATGTCTCACAACAGCGAATATCTTTTTTTCATTTGATTATTCTGTAATTTTATTTATTGTAAATCTTTTTTTGGAAACTNTCAAATGTAGCTGTTTACGCGCAAGTCTGTTGACTGTTTTGCGTGTTGTATATGCCATTGTTCGGCTTAGTTCAAGCAAATCAAGAGAGAATACAAGTCATGTCAGTATCAGTGTAGTGACAATAATGTATTGTCTTGTAAGTTTCACCAGTGTGTAATGTAATAAAAGTAATGTAAGGGGTGTAACCCCGGGGTGCAATGTCAGTTTATGTAAGTGGTGATCATAAGTTGCATATAGTTATTAACGTACCTCAACTCAAGCAATGTTGTATGTAATGAATTTAAGTTTAATAACACATAGAGTGAATAATCTATTGCTTTACTAGAATTCTAGCTAAATTGATCTCAAGTAATCATTTTCCCATATTAATTTTTTTCTTCTACTTTCTAACCCCCTATTTTAGCGAAAAATCCTGCAAACTGAATTGCAGCTAGCTGTGTACTCAGTTCATTTAACAATTAATGCCTCACAACAGTGAATATCCTTTTTTCATTGGATTATTCTGTAATTTTATTTACTGTAAATCTTTTTTTGGAAACACTGAACAAAAAAGGAATGTCGCATTTTGTTGACCACCTCAAGGCACTGTACACTGTTTAAACAATAGAGTGTTTCTGTGGAGCATAGTGAGAGGAACTATCGGCTGATAGTTCAGAGTTGCCCCGCGGAAATTTGATGTTCTTAAAACAAATATGCTAGTTTTAAGAACATCAAATTTCCAAGGCGCACCTATCAGACCGATAGTTCCGAGATATAAACACTCTATTGTCTATTGTTCACCACTAAATTTTCTTCCGCGCGCCAGTTCAAAAATAATGTTGAAAGCCGTGAAAGTCAAATGTAAAATATCTGTAAGAAAACAAACAAAAACTCTCTTAATACAATTTCACTTGAGTACTTTCTATACAGAAATATTTTCACGGACGAGTTCTATCCATCCGGGTACTTT